AATCGGTTAAATTGGCAAACTAAGTAGCATTTGTTGCACTAAATTGAATGGTAAAAATCGAAAAATAAGAGCATCGCGTTTTCGAAATATTTTTAAATATCTATTTTTTTCAATGAAGCACCCTGTATATTTTTTGCTAGTTTGATTTCTCACCAAAAAGGTTCCTTGCACTATTGCCCTTAAACCAGAAATAACTGAGTTATTCCAAATTTTATATTTTTTCAAGTTGACCATGTATTGTTATCCTAAAGAGTACTTTTCACCTCACTTTTAATATACAGGATCACAGGATGTGCAATTTTTGAAAATGAAGAACAACGACAATTTTCAAAGTTTGGCAACACCGCAACTTAGACTGATTTAACTTATTTTTGACAATTAGTTGACAAAGAAGACGATATAATATGTTTCCCTTTAGTCAAAGTCCAACTTTAAAATATTTATCTTTAACGTTTCCAAAATAATCTAAAAATTGGCCATTCCCCGAAGATGACCGTAAATAAATCCGAAATCGTACATAACAATCCTATCAAACTATATATATTTATATTTGTCTTTAAAAGCGCAATCGAAAAATATAAAAATATACAGGGTGTAACAGGGTGTTCTTCTAAAAAAAAAATCTGACGTGTCACACTTTTTTGACACCCCCTGTATATGCGCAAATACAAAAAAAAACAAATTAATGATTTAATGGCCGTTTCCACTAACTAATTTAGAGGAGCCTTAACGAAAAGTAGGTATTCTCAAATTGACATTTCTCCATGGAAGACTGTCATTTTAAGGAATACTTATCGGTAAGGCTTCCCTAAAATAGTTGATGGAAACGGTCATTAACTCTACAACCCTGTATTTAACTTTTTGTCATAAAATATCTAGATTTCCATATACCTACCGAGATAGGAAAAAAAAAACGGGCCATATAGGTTCGTAGTAGGTATTATCTACATAAAAACTATACAGGTTTTGATTGAAAGTTTCTTAGGCTTTCTGGCTGTCTGTGTCATTAACGCCAATATATGCTCTTGCCTTGCTGGGAAACTTCTAGAATTTTCGACTTCTCATAAGGTCTGTTCTCACAAAAGTCCCTGACAGTTTGCCACCTGTCAGTAACAATCGCTCAGCTAAGTTACTGATTGATCTTGGAACGACGGCATTGAAAACATGCATGGGCGATGCATTCTGACAGTTTTGAAACTGTCAGAGACTCTTGTGAGAAGAGACCCATAGGGAGTTAAACAAATTCTGTTTTTCTCCATTTTCACAAAACTGAACTAATCACGACAAACAACGAACTGAAAACGTACAGACTTTTGAACGTGCTCTTGACGCGTTGCCACTTGTTTATTACATGCGTATTCCACATTAGACTGAATGCAGTAACTTAACATATATCTGTGCATTCCTTGTCTCGAAACATTCGGAGAACCCCAGAGACGGAAACAACCAATGAAAACAACTAGTAGGCAGAAAACGGTTAAATTCGTGGTCAAATACATTGTTCATACTACCGAGATTCTCAGAAGTTCACACTACAGAACATTCTGGCTGTTCATAATAATGGGCGGTTCACAGAAGCGTGTGTTCACACTAGCGCGAATGTACTGTAATTTTGAACCATTCCACTCTGTTTTCCCTAGCTGCCTTTCTCTGATTTTTTATCTTTCCTTTCGCTCCTACTTTTTCGTGGCTATCCCCTTTTTCTCCAGTGTCAAGGAGGGCACTTCTTATTTTGGGAGTCGATTATTTTGCATCCTTTGTATCTAACATGTGGCCACATCACCCACATTTTCTATTCTTATATTCTCCTTAATGCTGGGTTTTATTTTCATAATTACCTTCAATTTACAGTCTACAGTTAGGAGTGACAGAAATGGACTACTGACCTTCAGTAGTCCATTTCTGTCAGTCTTTGTCCCTTCCTTTGATTTGCCATACTCTACTGCTTATAAGTCATTATACTATTTACCTTTGTAATTCTTTGATTTTTAAAGATTTATTTTTCAAAAAAATCTTAATTTCCGCACCCAAACGGGTCGTTTTTGGTTTTTGCTTTGTAGGACTTCGAAGAGAAGGAGCCACACATTGAATCTCCTTTAAACCTGTTTTTCTGAGTTGGCGGCGTGCTTTCGCTTATGTTGCGCTGACGAGAGCTAACAAGCTCGAAACAGGCCTGCAAGAAGCGTTATTACCCATTGATTGAGAATTCGGGTTTCTCCGTTGTCTTATAAAGCAAAACCACACATAGGTATTGCATAATTCTGAACATGACAGAGCAGTAAAACTCATGTATTTTCCTTGCATTGTTTTTCTTTACACTTATTCTTTGTTTATCTTTCCCTCTCTTCTTTAATGTGCTTTTCAATTTCTCCATCCCGGTAGTTAGTTCTCTTATGTTTTATGTGTTTTTTGAGCTCAAATATTTTTGAAATTAATTTTCCTTCCCTTTCATCATAGGGAAACCAACTTGGACGACATTGTTATGACCTAGATAGGGGTTCAAAACAAAAGGTTGAAGTAAGAAGTTACGAGGTTGAAACTGGAAAATTAGTAAAATTTTAAGATAATTGAAACTTTTCGCCCTTTCGGGCCAAATTATGGACCAACTGGTAAGTGTCTGGTTGTTACCTAGCAGGTACTTTCTATTCTCTAGTGCGTAGAAAGTACGTGCTAGGTAACAACCAGAAGTTTACCAGTCAGTCTATAATTTGACCCTTAACTGAGAATTATTATTATTTCCCGCTTTTCAAATAGATAATTTACTCAAAGTTGGCTTTTCAAGTAAAATCCAAGAGAAACAAATGCTTACGTAGGTTGTCCCAATAAAGTCATGCCTCTGAAGGCTATTTTTAGAAATACGCTTCTCTAAAGAAAGCAAAACAAAGTCACTAGGTGGTTGTCATACAGTTAGGGAGCTATAATTAACGGCAGATAATATCGCCAAGTGCCAATGTAAGTGCGCCCAACTATTTATGTGTTTATTATAATACAGTGGGCGTTAGTGTGCTATTTAACTTAATTGTAAGACCTAATTAAGTTAACACAAGTCAAGAATTTATTGGAGATAAGGAAACTGGGCGCTGGGAGTAGTTATCCCATACATAGTGGGTGTAGGGAAGGAGGAGGGCTAGTTTTAGTTTCTTTTAAACAATATTATTGAAATAAGAAGAAACCGACTTAAAAGCAATATACGTTTTCTCCACTCACAAAAAAAGTCTTGAGCAGTTACAGAATGAGGAAAGCTAATTTTAAATTCTGCATCCTTGAAACTAGATCTCTATCTAATTGAACTTATATCAAGGTGACTATAACAAAACAGTGGACAATTGCGACAAGGCGGATTTAAATGATATTAAAAAACGTTTTATTACACAATTAAACCCGGAATTGGTCATAGCTACGATTTTTTATATTGAAATATTGATTTTTTGGCTTGGGAAATCGTACTTGTAACAACAATGAGGCAATAGTTATGTATCTGGAGCAGTAATGATGATGTGAAATGTATTTTATTATTTATGTAAGCGGTATTCAAATCAAAATGAACATCAGTTTTATGTAATAAGAATGTTCGTTGTTCGTCTTTGCGTCTTTGGATAAATAGTTTCCTATAATGTTAGAAAATAATATGTCCAATTGGGTAGAATAAATAAAATTAGACTATATTACTACCAGTAGTATGAAACAGTGTAGGTATAACTTATTATTTATTTCTAACAGAGAATAAGTAAAGATAATGAGAAAAGAAGGTTACTAAGCTGTGAAATTGTTTGTCAGTTGCAAAAACAACAACTGGTTGATATATTCGGTAGTGAAAAACATACTGACGATACTATGTCGAATCCTATACCTATAAACACGGTAAATTCAAAACGTAGCTGTGAATGAAACGTACGGGCTCAGGAAAATCAGATATAATCGTTATCGATGGCGCGAACCTGGACTCGTAGGTTTGAGAATTGTATCTGTCATTGGGATATAAAAAAATATATATATTTTCCAGCGATTGTCTATCTGTGTTCAATGACCTAAAACCCAATTTTATCTAGATATTTTTGTTTTGACTTTTATAAAGAACATGAGTAGGCATGTATCGACAAATGCTACTAAATTGAGTTGTAAAGACAAGTTTGAAACATATATTCGGAAAAAATCAAAACAACCTTTCAAATATTTCTGTGTGTGTATAATATAGATTATAAAATTTTGAATTTTGTATTTAACTCACCGAGACTCACTATCTGAAAAAGCAACACTTGCCATTATCGTGAGAATTTTGTTTCTTCTTCACCTAGGTACATTAGAAAATCAAATTATCGACAGTTTGTTTCGCATTTGGCCTTCTACTTGTGCCTACCTTATTTCTATAAAAATTAAATTTTCAAATCAGTTTCTGATGATATTGTTAACATCGCTATCGAAGTGTAGTGCTGGCCCCTAAATTAAATTCTAACTCAACCCAATATTTTTCCCTCCACCGGCATGAAATTTCAATTTCAGTTTCGCATATTCTATAGATAATATTAAGTTCAGAGTTATCTATAATTAGACTACAATAACACAAGATTCATTCTGGTAGAGATAATACCTTCCTGATTATAAAATTCGATTTTAGGAATTTGAAAATGAAAATTATTTCAAGTTAACCATAAAGTTTTATTATTTTTAGTAAAAAACTATCATAATCACTCAGACCAACTAGGCCACGGTTATTTAAAATCCAGCCACGATTCAATCGTGTTATTCCAAAAAGGTATGTAACATGTGACATAATTTTTAAAATTCGATTTGATGACACCTACCTACACTGCCAAGTATCTAGGTTACTAAGAACACTCGCAGGTAATAATAATGTTAATTGTCTGATATACTGAAACAATACGTTACGTTATTCTTGAACCCTTTTCTCACGATTTTTGAATAAATTAAAGTCTTCCGCACCTACTTTAGATGGCGTTAACATACTTTTGTTATATAAAACTAAGAATATTTGATGTTACCTTGGGTATATCGTGGTACATATCTCTAGGTGGTAACTTGGGTGGTTTGTCACCACGTCTCTGCGCATGTTGCTGACTTTGGAGTAAAAGTTGCTCCCTGGTAGCAGCAACACTGCCCCCGGCAAAACCAGAACTTCCTGAAGAACCACTACCATTTCCTGCAATACTGTAAGGATCCTCATCAGGGATTGGAATGCGGGGTCGATTTTTTATGTCCATTGCACGATGCACTGAAAAAAATATATTTTTAAGAATCAAACTGGTATGAACAAAGAAAGAAAATTCACATAACCTACTGTGCTAAAAGTCCGTATAACATGATTGTGGTTACCCTAATGACCAAAATAAATGTTTCAATGACATGCTAAAGCATGCAAAGCAAAATAAGAATTTGTAACACCTTGTGTTTGTTTTTTAGAGAGATTTCCACATCAAGGGAACTTTTAGCGTTTCATTTTTGCAGCTATTGTTTTCGGTGCCAAATTACATCGTGGAAACAATACTAACCACCTGAAAGCATCTTCTTAATTATAATCTTGATATCTTTTTACTTAGATTTCATAATGTTTTTAAAATACGAGGAAAGATTCAATTCTAAAATTATTACAGTGTCATTACGATAATAGTAGGCAGAAAAAACATTTTTTTCGCCTGACGTAAAATTAAATTTATTGTAAATGAACTTCAAAAACCAAAATATATAACTGGGGTATTAATATTTATAGATTCTTTGCAGTTTTTATTTATTGAAAGAAAAATATTTCAAAAAGCACTAGCGAATTATTGGAATATTTTCGCACAGGTAGACTTCGATGAATATTTTTTGTCTCGTGGAAGGAATGGAAAACCTAACTAATTTTGAAAATGAAGGGAAAGTTAAGGAAAATTGGAGGAATAAAAATATTGGTCCTGGACGGGATTCGAACCCGCGTCTTCAGCATTGTCGGTGCTACGCTCTAACCAACTAAACCACCACGACCCTACAGATCTTTTTGATTTTTTTGTTTTGGTGTTGTTAGAGGAAGTTGCGTGGTTCTCCGCTCATTGCCAAACTTCTCAATCCTCCAATAGATCCACACATTTATGGCATCGGTCCTAATTCGAATAAGTTACCCTATTACCTATTACTATATGTAGGTTTCGTCCATGTGTGGTAAAACTCGGTGTATGCGATGCCCGCATAAGCAATGTTGAAAGGAAATGAAGTTTTTTCGGTTACAGCAACCGAAAAACGTGGAAATTGAAAATGAAGAGAAATTTAAAGAAAATTGGAGGATTCAAAATTTTGGTCCTGGGCGGGATTTGAACCCGCGTCTTCAGCATTGCCGGTGCTACGCTCTAACCAACTAAGCCTTAACTTTTTCTTCATTTCCAATTTCTATGCTTTTCGGTTATTGTAACCGATAAAATTTCATTTCCTTTCAGCATTGCTTATGCGGGCATTGCATACACCGAGTTTTAACACACATGGACAAAACCTACATATAGTAATAGGGTAACTTATTCGTATTAGGACCGATGCCATACAACAACCGAAAAACGTGGAAATTGAAAATGAAGAGAAAGTTAAAGAAAATTGGAGGATTGAAAATTTTGGTCCTGGGCGGGATTCGAACCCGCGTCTTCAGCATTGCCGGTGCTACGCTCTAACCAACTAAGTCACCACGACCCTACAGATCTTTTTGATTTTTTTGTTTTGGTGTTGTTAGAGGAGGTTACGTGGTTCTCCGCTCATTGCCAAACTTCTCAATCCTCCAATAGATCCACACATTTATGGCATCGGTCCTAATTCGAATAAGTTACCCTATTACCTATTACTATACAGAGTGAGTTTTATGTATGGAAACGCCCAATTATCTCAAAAACGGCTTGCTCGATTTTTATAAATTTTGGTATGTGAGGGTATTGTTATATGGCCGATATTATCGTGCCATTTACATGGTTGTCAGATCATTCGATTTTTGGCAACTATTAGGAACTTTGTTATTTCAAATGGATCACCCTGTATATTTTTCAGTTTTCGTAATCCCTGAATAATACTGAATATTTTTCATGAAATGTTTCCTATACCCAAATGCCTTAATTTAGGAATTATAGCTACATTTACATTAAAAACCGCAAAAGTTGAAATAATTCATTGGCTTGTCCCGCGTGATGAGAGCTCGTCGCGGGAGCGTCTCGTCATGTCTGTGCACACCTTAAGATCTCTATGACTACAAAAATAATAGCTTTCACGTTTCAGTAAATTATTATTTGTCAGTTTTCATTGAATGTGATAATGAATCGTTTATCTGAAAAAGAACGAATTGAGATTTTGATGATATTGGGATATGGTGATAGGCGTAGAAGTCAACAAGAAACGTGTGATATTTTCAATGATTTATATCCCAACCGCAATCCCATTACAAAATCAACTGTTAGTAAATTGCTTAAAAAGTTTACCCAAACTGCTGGAGTAAAAGATCTACCCAAATCAGGGCGCAGGAAGACTAAATCAACTGACAACAAATCTCTAGATGTTTGTGTCATGTTAGAAGACGATCCTCACTTGAGTACTAGGCAAATATCCAGGGAACTTGAAGTTTCTCAAACAACCGTGATGAGAATTCTGCATGGTAATAAATTCCATCCATACAAAGTGAGGTTGGTTCAGGAGTTGTCAGATGACGATTTTGATAGACGTGAGGAGTTTGCCGATACAATGATGAGAAAATGTTACGATCCAAACAATCCAAATTTTTTAAATAATGTTATGTTTAGCGATGAGGCCACTTTTCTTATCAATGGCAACGTAAATCGGCATAATTGTAGATACTGGTCTCGTAACAATCCTCATTGGATGCGTGAATCCCACACCCAATATCCCGAGAAACTGAATGTATGGGCTGGAATAATAGGCGACAGAATAATTGGACCGTTTTTTATTGAAGGAAACTTGAATGGTCCCGCGTATTTACGTTTATTGGAAGATAGTATTATACCTGAGTTGGCTCGGTTATTTCCAAATCCAAGTGAGTATTTTCAATTGCCTTTAAAATTAAAAAAAAAAATAATTTATTGAAACTTTCAGACAATAACAATATTCCCCAAAACAATATTTGGCTGCAACAAGATGGAGCTCCACCCCACTATGCCCGTGAGGTGAGACAATACCTAAATCGTTTGTTTCCCGGAAGATGGATTGGAAGGCGTGGATCTATCGAATGGTCTCCTCGATCACCCGACATGAATCCTCTAGACTATTTCCTATGGGGCCACTTGAAAAACACTGTTTATAAAACAAAACCTCTCAATATTGAGGAATTGAGAGATAGAATCACCAACGAGATAAGAAGAATAGAGCAGACAGGGATGTTGCAAAATGTATTGCAAAGTTTTAAAAATCGCATGGCTTGTTGTCTGGAAGTCAACGGACAACATTTTGAGCAGCTGCTGTAATGGGTTGGATAAATTTAGATTTTTCAACCCTCGTTGGGTTCATCAGATCACAATCCCAACTCCGCAACCTGTGAACTAGCTATCAAACCATGGTTCAATAAAAACTGCTCAACAGCGGGAAATTATAAAAATGCTGCTTATTGCAAATGGCATCGTAATCCGACAGCCTAAAATCTCAATACATTCTCACGACTAGAAACCACTGTAAGCAGACCAATGGCGAAGAAGAAGAAAAAAAGGCAAAAAAACAGTTCGGAGAAGTGATCAATTAATAGCTCCTGTCGAGTGCCAAGGCACCAGCACAAAAGCTAGGGGCGCTCTATAGAGCATCCCTCGAAAACTGTTGCTGACCTGGAGTTGACCAAATACCATTAATAGCCATAAACCTCGGGAAAAAGTGGTAGACCTATCACTATTCTATCGATATCATTACAGCAGGTGCTCGAATTAACTGACACTTGTGACTCTGCCCAGAGTTGTACCAAACAGATACACTCGTCAACACAAGCAGCTCATGAACATACAATTCAGCTGCGAACACCTAGGACGTCACTGTTCAGAAGTCAATTTGGTCTGGAGGGCTGCCTAGCTCTGGAATGAACTTCCAAAGGCATGAATACTTTTCTCGAAAACTATAACCTACAGCGCAATGTCCATCGACATCTCAGTGTACACGCCGCTCGTTGAGTGGTAAAGGATTTTCCGTTTGTGTGTGAGCCAACCATGAAAAAGTAATATTAAGATAGCTATTGTTTTCAGTTAATTTAGTTTTCCTGCGCCCAGATTTGGGTAAATCTTTCATTGCATCAGTTTGGGTAAACTTTTTTACCAGCTTACTCACAGTAGATTTTGTAATGGAATTTCGGTTGGGATATAAATTATCTTGTGGACTTCTACGCATACAACCATATCCTAATAAAATTAAATTAAATTAAAATCTTAATTCGTTTTTTTTTTTTCAGATGAACGATTCATTATGGTATTCAATGAAAACTGACAAATAATAATTTACTGAAACGTGAAAGCTATTATTTTTGTAGTCATAGAGATCTTAAGGTGTGCACAGACATGACGAGACGTTCCCGCGACGAGCTCTCATCACGCGGGACAAGCCAATGAATTATTTCAACTTTTGCGGTTTTTAATGTAAATGTAGCTATAATTCCTAAATTAAGGCATTTGGGTATAGGAAACATTTCATGAAAAATATTCAGTATTATTCAGGGATTACGAAAACTGAAAAATATACAGGGTGATCCATTTGAAATAACAAAGTTCCTAATAGTTGCCAAAAATCGAATGATCTGACAACCATGTAAATGGCACGATAATATCGGCCATATAACAATACCCTCACATACCAAAATTTATAAAAATCGAGCAAGCCGTTTTTGAGATAATTGGGCGTTTCCATACATAAAACTCACTCTGTATGTAGGGTTCGTCCATGTGTGGTAAAACTCGGTGAATGCGATGCCCGCATAAGCAATGTTGAAAGGAAATGAAGTTTTTTCGGTTACAGCAACCGAAAAACGTGGAAATTGAAAATGAAGAGAAATTTAAAGAAAATTGGAGGATTAAAAATTTTGGTCATGGGCGGGATTTGAACCCGCGTCTTCAGCATTGCCGGTGCTACGCTCTAACCAACTAAGCCTTAACTTTTTCTTCATTTCCAATTTCTATGCTTTTCGGTTATTGTAACCGATAAAATTTCATTTCCTTTCAGCATTGCTTATGCGGGCATTGCATACACCGAGTTTTAACACACATGGACGAAACCTACATATAGTAA